ATAGAAAGTGTGAGAACTGGAGTTTACAGATAGAAAGCAGGATAACTGGAGTTTACAGGTAGAAAGTAGGAGAACTGGAGTTTACAGTTAGAAAGTAGGAGAACTGGAGTTTGTAAACGTATATATTTTTTTGCAAATAAGCAAATATGAAATAAGAAATAGGAATTTACTGCTTTTTGTTCAATTTTTAGGTTGGGTCCGAATTTGCGCGCGCACTTATGGGCCCCCTCTGAGATAAAGGTTTAATCCTCCCCTGACCAGCAGGGAATGTTATGATTTTTTTATTTCAAAGTTTGTTACTTTTAGAATGTTTGTTATTGTTTAGACGGATACCAGTTTGGGAGCGAGTGTACTGCTGGGGTTTAATTGTTATTGGTATTCTCGGGGGCGCGTGCGCAACATATAATGCCATGAGGTAAGATCATGAATATACAGAGTGTCCCACGAAACATGACAGGATGAAAACGACTGAACTAAGTTGTCTTTAATTTTTTATATAATTTGCTCATTTATTTGCCAACCTTATCTTAGATTTAAAATTCTAGAGTTTACTATTACAAAATACCCATATGGCCTAAGATTTCCAAAATGTGGTCCGCCGTTTTTGTGCTTTTACTATTACTGGAGATATGAAAAACGTGGTTTGGTATTTTGGATTAGTTAGATTTCGTATTTACTAAAATCTGAACGAAATTCGTAAAATATCACCTGTAATATTGACAGCAAAAAAAGGGCAGACAACATTTTGGCAATGCCAGGACTAGGATTATACAGGGTTACAGGATGAGACTTCAAAGACGATTGTACTTAGTTTGTTTTCTTGCCTGCTTTGTTTCTTGTAGGCCAAAACTGGTTTATTACGAAGTGAACTATAAAAATACTTATCTGAATGAAGAAATAAAAAATCAAATAAGCTTCAAATCGTCATCTGTAATGTTTTGGATTGTCTTTACATTCTCATCTTTTATGGGTACCCCTGTAGTATGTGGTTATTGTTTCAAGAATCATGTTATTAAAGTAGGTTAACGGCTGAATTTCACAAATGAATTCAAAGATCTAAGACTACGTTTCAACCAAGTCGTGTTGCTATACTGTCATGTTTCGTGGGACATCCTGAAAATGAAAATAATTTTGAAGTTATTTTTATATTTCAGAATCTAATAAATTTTTTAAATTTTGTCACCAAATGTTTTATCGATTATAGCATCATTATAATTTAAACATTAATCATTGCATTAGGATTTTTGTTTTAGCTTCAAGTGTGGGGATGTATTTTTAAATTTTACATTAAATTATTTCTGCTAGAAATAAAACTTTAAAGTTTATACTAATGACCTAATAATAAGTTTTGCTGGAACTGCAAACTTTTAGGTTTCCCTTCTGATAATATTGCAAAGAAAACTGTTCTACTAATAGTCCTTTATCAAGTGAAATGGGTTTGTTTACAGTACTTAGTTGCTGTGTATAATATTCATGTGACTATTTAAAGTGATAAGCCTTACAATCGCCTCTATATTCTGCAGAGTTTTCTGGTTCTCATTGTATAGTTCTAGGATAATATTTCTTCCTTTTCTATCCTTTCTCAACTATTTTTTTTGTGTGGGAAAAATAATTTGATTGTATATCAATTCTTATTCATTTATTATAGTTCTGATTCTTAATATATCTTTATATTTTTACTAATTCACTTTATGTACCCTGCTGTCTTGTATATTTTAGTGATATCTTTGCAACCTCTCTATAGTTGTACCCTGCTGTCTAATATATTTCCGTCATATTGATGCAACGACCCTATCTGAAGTCTGCTATTATATATTTAGTGATATTGTTGCAACCTCCCTATCCATACCCTGCTATCTAATTTATTTTAGCGATATGTTTGCAACCTGCCTATCTGTACCCTTATAATCTAATATTTTTTAGTGATATTGTTGCAACCTCCCTATCTGTACCCTTCTAACCTATTATATTTTAGTGATATTGTGCAACCTTCCTATCGGTACCCTGCTATATTATATATTTTTGATATTGTTCCAACCTCCCTATCTGTACCCTGCTATCTTATACAGTGATAACCAGAATACAATTGAATAGAAAGACGACATTATATCAATACTTAAGCGTTTTGATGTTTCAAAGCAAAATGATTTTACCAGTAACTTAAACCTCCCTATTTGTTTTAGTGATATTGTTGCAACCTCCTTATCTGTACCCTGCTATCTAATATATTTTAGCGATATTGTTGCAACCTCCCTATCTGAACCCTGCTATCTAATGTATTTTAGTAACTTGTCTGTACCCTGCTAGCTAATATATTTTAGTGATATTGTTGAAAACTCCCTTTCTGTACCCTGTTATCTAATATTTTTTAGTGATATTGTTGCAACCTCCCTTTCTGTACCCTGCTACCTTATGTCTGCAGATGCAAATATAACCATCTCATCATCGCATTAAAGGTAAAACATTAAAATCAGGGGTTTACACTGTACAGGGGGTGTTTTTTTTTGTTAGAAGGGGGCAGCACCCATCCCCCAAGAAATTAGTGATATTACTGATCAAGGGGAGGGGACTGAGCCCCCGTTGCCCCCCTCCCCTGACCCTTGTGAACGTCTCTGATTAAAACTAAAAAAGACAAAATATGGATTTTTACATTTTGTAATTCATTCAAATCAGCCTATGAAGATTTATGGAAAAAAAAGATTGGTGTATAGGCCCATTTTATTGTGAAAGTATTTAATAAGCTTCCTTCCATCCGTACTAATCCTTTCATCTTTAACTGCAGTACTCTCTAGAATAGGTTTGATATCAAAATATTGTTGAATTTATGTTAACCACGTTTCTAAATTTTTTTTTACCTTTGTTATATAGTCAACTTAAATTTACATCTTTGTCCTGTACTTAACTTTATTTTATTTAGGTGAAAGGAAGGGATAAATGTCAGGGAAAGATAATCAGAAAAAGCGTACAAAGAAAACCAGTAAGAGACTATCAACATCATATTTTGAAAATCTGAGAAAAAGAAAATAATTTGATTATCACACATAAAGGGTTACCCTCGAAGGTGTGTCTGTAAAGACGACCCAAAACTCTGAAAATATGACAATTTGAAACATGATTTTTGGGGTCTGCCTTCAATTTAGTATTTTAATGGTTAAATAAATGATTAACCACAGAAATAATCCAGGTTGACCTGCAAGGAACTCTGAATGTTAGAAAAGGGACTTAACAAATTACATACAGTCGTCTCTGAATTCTATATCTTTGTGGGTAACCCTGCAGCTAATTATTAGAGAGGCGTAGTTTTGCATCTCTTTATGTTTATTATTCATTGATGTTGATGTATTGATTGATATATAGATAAATAGTCTATTGGAGTCCACAATTTAAATTATTTTTAATCGCATAGCTAAGATTTTTTTATTGGGGGGCAATTTTCGATAAAGGGTGGTTAAAAAAAGGCAACATGTTCAAAAAGGGGAGTGATGAAAAACCCTTTTCACAATGTTTATTTTCATTGCAGCCTGCAGGAATATCCAAAATGATTATTTGGGCATTATTTTAGAAACAAGAAAAGAAATTATTTAATTTTCATATTTTCCGAAAAATATTATTTATTTTTTTGTTTATTAGCATTTTTAATTATTTTAGACTAATGACTTAATATCGTTAACGAAGAATTCTTATTTAAATAAATATTTCTCATTAATTAAGCCGAAAAATATACTACGGTTGTCATATATTCTGTTTGAATTAAGATGTTGTTTGTTACTTAGATCAAATGTGATTATGTTTTATTTGTTGTAAAATAAAGTGTAATAAAAGTATATGTATTGTTTATCTCTAAATATCTTGTTTTCCCTTGTCTTACATTGTTTTTCCTATCATACAGTCCTAGAAAACCAAGGACATCTAATAACCTAAAACAAAAACTAATCTTTAGATCCATGTCCCTCAGATCATATAAATTAACATAGAATTAATTCGTAGAATTAAGAAAAAGGTAAATGATGCATTGTATAGTGCACAAGTTAGGCCATTGTTACCAACATTACACAACCATTTCACGGCTATTGCTTTAGATTTGATTTTTGTAACAAAAATATATTCTAGAATTATTTGATGATTCTTCAACTTTACAGAGCATCTTAAATTAGAAGCATTGTATCGTAGAAGCGCAGTCTTGTCAAGAAGTCGCTGCAGGGTTAATAAACATTAGAAGCCACTAGTTCATCGAAAATGTAAAAGCAATACAAAATAATTTCAGTAATCAACGTTTTAAAATAACACAGATCGTAAGGGAAGGTTGATTTTTTTATTATTTTGATCAAAACATATTGATAAAGGTGTTAAAAGAAGCGTTTTTAACCACTAAATTCCGTTTATTTTCAGGTTTTTCGATATTTCAAAATTTTAGATTTAAGGCTAAAACTTGGTTTTTTTATACTCCGGGGGTTTTCCTGATAACTTAATAAATTTTCAATGTATTTTTATGTTTCTGAACTCAGTAATTTAAGACGAGACAATTTGATACCCATCTTTATATTTTTGGACGACTTTTGTTTACTTATATTAGTGATTTTAATTACACAAAAGCAAAATTCTGTATAAATTTTGAAGAACTAAAATTACAAATCTTATTTCATAACTTTAGAACTGGTGCAAGGTGGATTTAAGTGCCAACTAGTTTCATCTTTATTTAACCTAAATCTCAAAAATATGGCAAATAGAAGATTAGGATCAGCCGTTGTTACATATATCATTCTTTGTGGCAACCCTGTATGTAAAAAGTGCTTTACCAGAAAGCAATATATTCAATTAAATTTCGAAAGTAAAATAATGTGTCAATAAATTCCAACAATTGTGTCAGGTTAACACAAAGCCATTTATTTTTATTTAACGATTCTCTAATTTTATGTTTCATAAAGATTATGTTTAAACGCAATCGCCTTTTTCTTTCCGCTACCTGCAAGTTGCAACCCTTTGCGCATGCTGCACGCAACAAAACATAAGACATTTGCTTGATTTTGAGCAAAATATTTTAGCGCAAAACATTTGAACTAGTCTACCTATTTTTCACATTTTTCCAATTTTCTCCTGATATAACTAAAAATAGAACTGTTTTTAACAAAATATATTTTCAAGTTTTCTGTAATTAGTGATAGCGTTTAATTACATCAGTACTAAGAGATATAAAATAAATGGTAGATGTTCTGAGTTGAAAACTTTAGAGTGGGATATCCTTAATCCCGATCGGTTAATTAATCTGAAGATTAATAACAAGAGGAGAACAAGCATTATTTAATCTGGAAATTAAGAAAAAGAGAGGATCAAGCATTGATCTCGATATCCACCATTCTAAAGTTTTCAACTCTGTTGAAATAATGAGGATAATTTGTCATAAGACATAAGACATATGACATAAGAGACATTAAAGGAGCCAGAAGATTTTTAACTGCTTTAGTGATTTAACCAGGATTGATGGATATAGATCAGTCTGAGATGGCGGGGTTTAAACCTTGAATGTAGAAACGTTGCTTGTTATCGCGTTATAAACAACAATATTATCGATAGGAACGTATTGTCCTGTGAGTAGTTTAATACACTCGTGTGCTGCGCATCCTCCAAGGAATGCCGCAACTGTGTGCAGCTCTGATCCGCCATAACGGCACACCTCGTGGATATGATCATCCTGAAATCAGAATAATTAATCAATTAATTAGTCATTCAATTAGTAAATCAATCAGCAATTTTAAAATCAATCGAAAATCCACAATATGGTAAAATGAATTAAATCTGCTACTTGTGTCTACCCATACGTTGATCAATTAATCAATCAATCAATCAGTCAACTAATCATCCATTCATTTAGGTAACAATTCCCTAACTTAAAAATATTTTTCTTGATTTTTTAATGATAAACATCAGAAAGGATTATAATAACCCTGAAGATGTTGTCTAATCCTAAAAAAAAGTAGAATTTACCCCTAATGAAATCATTCTGGAACAAGAAATATTTTATTCCGGCTCACAGTGAAATACCATTTTTATGTAAACAATCATATTGGTGTTCTTGCTGTCAACAAAAAAACAGTTTTAAATGAATTATATTCACCTGTCCCTGGGGCGGAGTTAGACCGGCCTCTATGCAGAGCCGGGTAAAAATAGTTTTAAGTTTGGCAGTATCCGCCTCAACCTCGGGATCAGTATCTCCAGGGGTAGATCCGTACTCACTTATGTACCTATACAAATATACAGGTCAAGGGTAGATCCGTACTCACTTATGTACCTATACAAATATACAGGTCAGGGGTATAGCTGTACTCACGTATGTACCTGTACAAATATACAGGTCAAGGGTAGATCTGTACTCACTTATGTACTTGTACGATTCCTGTACAATTATACAGGTCAGGGTTGGATCCGTACTCACTTATGTACCTGTAAATTCCTGTACAATTAAACAGGTCAGGGGTGGATCCGTACTCACTTTTGTATCTGTACAGTTTACAATGTGCGTAGATTTTTTAAAGGAAAATTTTTTATACAGCGGGAACAAGAAAACAGTAAAAATTTTGTCGATATCTTTTTTATTTTTGGTTTTAAATGTTACTATGGATTTTGTAATTTTCACCTGAACAAATTTTAAAAATGGACCTCAAGGTCAAAACTCTTGTTTGGAGTATTTTAAATCTTGAATGCTTGATCTCAATATTTAATATAGACACTTTTGAATTAGTAGAAAAAATGTTTGATCCCTCAATAAAAGTTACCACTGCAGGGTATGGCAACATGTGATATCAAAGAGTGAATAAACTTACATGAATACTTGATCTTAAGATTTACATTACAAAGTTTGAATTACCCTTTTAACCTAACACTCCCTTTAAAGTAATATTAATGATGCGCTAACCTATCTACAGCCCTGAGTACGAGATAATACAGTGCATCTGAGTCTGGGTCCTCCAGACCGTTCTGGAGGCTGGTGGAGGATCCTCCTCCAGTATATTCAGCCTCCAGGCTACATCCTCGCTCCAATCTTAGATACCTTGACTCACGACAAAACCTCCGTACGTCAGCCTCCGAAACAACATCTCTGAATAAAAGAACGATGAAAAATATGTAGCTTAACGGATCTAAGCTTTGTTCCACCCAACGTTTTGAAGTTTGACGATTATGGTATTAATACCATTCTTTTGTTGCTCTAGGAATGAATATGTTTAAAAACATCTTGAACAATTGAACACAAATTATTGCTAACGGGTACATTATTGGAGTAAAAGCTTTATAAAGAAATATTAAAACAAAAAAACGTTGCGACAATTCTATCTAAGACTTTAAAAGACGACCTTCGTTCCGTTTTTTTCTAGTTATGACTCTATTTAAAAAAATACCTAGATCTGTTGTTAGACTCTAGGAATTGAACAACACTATAAATACCTAGATCTGTTGTTAGACTCTAGGAATTGAACAACACTAATAATGCCTAGATCTGTTGTTAGACTCTAGGAATTGAACAACACTATTAATACCTAGATCTGTTGTTAGACTCTAGGAATTGAACAACATAATAAATACCTAGATCTGTTGTTAGACTCTAGGAATTGAACAATATATTTATAAATAGATTCAGCATCTTGGTTGGCCCTCTCTCTATAAATATTATGCAGCTCGACATATCTAAATAAAAAAAATGTTAAAGAAATTCTTGTTAAAAATTTTCCATTTTTTATGACATCATGACAATGTAATTTACTTAGGCGGATCGGATCCAGACTATAATTCTCTGTCAAAAATCTAATTTTCTATTGTTATTCTTGATTAAGTGGTAACCAGAAAACTGTAGTGTGCAATTGTCGTCTTACTTATTCCTCATAGATCTAACTTTGCAAACTGCTATTTATACAATTTACAAAATTCTTGGCGACATTGTACAGAGAAAAATAGAAAAACCGCTGAATATTCCATAAAGAGAATGTACAGGTAATTTAAAGTGACCCTTCATTTTCAGAGGGGCAATCCCAGCCATAAACCCTTGAAACCTTAATTTGATTAATGATGTGGAAGATAACTTCGTTTTTCTGACTTTGAAAATTGCTTAATTAAAAAAATTTCTCTATGTTTCTGAAGCAAGAAATGTACAAGTCACTTTTGTAGAAAAACCACAAATAAAAATAATCAGATTTCGAAAAACAAATGCATGGATAGACCGATATTATAAGCAAAACTCCAAAATTACAGAACGATCTCAGCAACTCTTAACAATGTAAAGAAAAAACAAGACATTCTAATGTTATATGTATTTAACTTAATATTTCTTTAAAGAAAAAATATACTATCAAGGGTTAAAGACGTTCAGGAGACAGTTGACACTTCCGAGAAGATTATAATTTGTAAATGTATACAATATACATTTACAACGAAATATTTGAAGAAATTTGAAATGTCTCGCATAAACGAGGGAGAGTCCAGAGTTCCTCAAATAGTAATCACCGCCACCAAAATCTGTTTTGCGGCAAGCGCGCTCCTCAATTGGTAATCTCCACCACCTCAAATAGTAATAAGCCCAAAAAAGCATAACATTAAATCGTTTATTTCTTAGAATTAAGACCATATAGACCTCTTGTAATGGCCCTATGGTGTACAATATTGTTAAAGCTTTCTTTATTGCTCCTTAGTTTCGAAAATAAATCTATAAATATGCCACACTAAGTGCTAGAAATATATTACGTTTTTTAGTTTCAAGTTTCGCTTTAAGAATGTTTGCGGCATTTTCCTCTGAATGTTGCTTTAAACTCCTTATATAAAGAGGAAACTTTAACCCATTATTAGTGGACTAAATACTTCATTTTCAGTAGGGGGTGGGATGAGACTAATTTTTCAAAATTTTATGCTCTTTCTATGCATATAATTAAATTTGTTGTAGATGTTGAACTTGAGTAGGCGAATACAAAAATCTAAACACTGTAAAGGTTTTTTGAAAATATCTTTTGAATGGAGATGGATATTACTTAACGTGGTATGAGATAATTTTTAGTAAATTTTAAGTACTTTCTATGCATATAATTAGTTTTGTTGTAGATGTTGAACTCGAGTTGGCGAATACAAAAATCTAAACACTGTAAAGGTTTTTTGAAAATATCTTTTAAATGGAGATGGATATTACTTTGGGTGGGATGAGATAATTTTTAGTTAACAGGCAGCCCGACCTTTTATGCCATAAAACCCTGATAGATGTCGAAAATTGTGTTAAAAGTGCATTAAATTCAAATCACAGAAAACAAAATTTTACGGTGATTACTAATTGAGGTGGTGGAGATTACCAATTGAGGAGCGAGCTTGCCGCAAAACAGATTTGAGTGGCGGTGATTACTATTTGAGGAACTCTGGACTCCCTCCCTCCATAAACCCCACCTGGCGCTATCACTAAACATATCTGGGAGTAACCCCTCTACAGGAAGACGGTTCTCTAGATCCACAAATCTTCCAACTGCGTGAGCTATCAGCCAAAAACTCTAAAATATTTTTTTAATTGACTTTAAAATGTAATTTCAAGTGACCCTCCATGCAAAGATGAGATGACAATGCTCGAATCACAATGGTACCATAGAAACCTTTATCTGAAAAAGAATGTGTGGAAGATATTGTCGTATTTCTAGGTTTGAATTTACATCTGATGATTCCACTTGTTTTCCCCCAGTAGAATGTGACATACCTTTTAAGGGTTCAGTTGCGAATCAGGCCTTGCCATCTTTTGAGAATCGTTATTTTTTAGATTATTAAATAACGATGACGACAAATTCTACAGTAAACTTATTAGAAGTTTAGGAATATACTACTCAATAGAAATTTGTCAATAAAACAATGTTGGAATCAATTATTTCTTTTTCATCATTACATTGAATTTCTTATTCCTTACAAATTTGTTCGCAGATTTCTACAAATTCTTCAAATGTCGTCTAATCAATAAAAATTCCAGAAAATCTACAGAAAATGTTTGTGAACAATGAGAGATAACAGAAACTAATGACTGATGAAGATTACTTATTTTTGATGATGAGAGTTAATTTTTATTTTTTCGTCCTGTTCCTAAACAACTAACAACTGTAGAATTTGTGTTACATTTTTGTCGTCGTTATTCAATAATTAAAAAAATATCTATTCTCAAAACGCAACTACCCAAATGGATGATTTTTAAAGTCGACTTTGCGCTCAAACCCAGTTATTATACATCATTAAAACGTTTAATATGTATTAAATGAATCCTAAAAGATTTCTCCACATTACTACATTTTCAGTTCAACTACCATACATTGCAGGTCACTCCCTTTAAAAAACTCGTTTTGAATAGTTAAAGGCTGAAGGGTCTGTCTAAATAAATAAAGAGCCTGTGAACATAACTCTCCATATATAGTGGCATGTTTGATCCTCTAAGGGTACCCTTTAAACATTTGTTCGATTAAAAATTATGGAGTTATCCCACTTTTTCCATTTCAAAATTGATTATTTTCAATTGGTGTTTTCTACATCAATAAAGCGAAGGAAATAAAGAGAAACTTTACCTTTTCTAGACAAAAAACCCCGCTTTCTTTCAAATTTATTATCCGATAAAAAGCTGAAGGTGAGGTTGTGAATTAGGCATGTAACACTGGAGGGTCACTTGAAATTACGCCGACAGTCTCTTTAACTAGATCTTGTTTTGAAAGAAAACCCGGTTTATGCAAATTTTGGGGTTTTAAAAAAACAGAGATAAAGATTTACCTCAGCTCCGCTGTGAAGGTTGCTGGCACACGGATCTTGTAATATCGTCATAGTGTTACTGGGTATACTGTACACAAATATAAAGCTCAATCAATCAGTCAATCAATTAATATTAATAAATATACAGCTTTATCAATCAATAAATCTATTAATTTCTTCTTAAAATTATTTGGTAGACTGTATACAAATATACAGCTTAATCAATCAATCAATCGATTAATTTCTTCATACTGGTAGACTGTATACAAATATACAGCTTAATCAATCAAAAAATCAATCAATATCTTCATATTACTGGGTACAATGTATATACATATACAACTTAATCAATCAATCAATCAATCAATCAACCGATCAATCAATATCTTCATGGTATTACTGGGTATACTGAACATGAATAAACAGCCCAATCAATCAATCATCCAACCAATCAATCAACCAACCAGTCAGCCAACCAACCAACCAACCAACCAATAAATCAATCAATCAGTCAGCAAATCAATCAATCAATCAACTAAATACTCAACCAATAAATATTACTGGGTATACTGTACATAAATATTCAGCTCAATCAATTTGATCTACATGGTATTAATGTGTATGTATACTGTACATTGTACACAAATATACTGTTTAACCAAGCAACCAACCAATCTTCAATAAAAATCTTGAATTTAACTTGATATAACAATTTAGTGTCTAAGGCAAGTATTCCATCCCTTGCTGCTACAAGGGATGGTTTACATCTATCTATATACTTTGCTTGTCTGTTTGTTTTTATCCAATACGTCATAATGGCTCTACCGATCGGGCCAAAATTTTGTGTGGTACTTCACATGTACCCAGGGAAGGTTTATGGAAGATCAAATTTTCAAAATTTTGCCTCTAAACAAAATTTGCTTTTTAAAATTTTGAAAATCGACAATTTTTTTTATAAAATCCGAGAAATTTTTTGTTTGATTTTATCTTACAATGTATACAAAGAGAATATGTTCACAATTGAAATAGAAGATGGTGTGCGTAGCGCCCTAAAAGCCTAGTTAAGCATTAAACAGATTTTATAACATAAGAGCTACACGAGTGAACATCTTATTTTAACATGAATAAATTTTGAGCTGAAAATTTCCTTGATAATTTTATAACGGTATTCACAGCTTTACAGGCCTCCTCAAAATTCTCTTCATCTTCTTCAAACTCTTCATTCCCCTCTCTTCTCAGTAGGCCTAAGCGTAATTATATTTATGAAGAAATTTTTTAACTTAAACTTGATTTGATTTAATTTTTAGCTTGAAATATACGGATATCTGCGTGTTCGATGATCAGACCTTTTAATCAATTCATATTTCATTTATTAAATTATTAAATAATTATAAATCAAATATTTCGCGAACACTATTTAACTAAATTGATAATCTAGAATTGGTGAGTAAAGTTTTTTATTTCTTACCTTTTCTGATGTTTTCCTTGAACTGAGTTTTTTCTTTATAATTCTGAGGAATATCATTATTATGCTCTGCTCGCCATTCGTTTAAATATCTTAACAAACAATAGTAAATGAATACAAGAATAAAGCAGAGAAATGTAATCTGTAAAGGACCCCCCCCCACCCTGGCAAAGGGTACCAAATCTTCCCAATGCCCCCTCCCCCTTCAAAACCGTGACACTTACAGAGTAAAGTTTAACCAAGAACTTAGAAAACATCAAAAGAATTTATAAAATATCTTTTTGACAATTTTTCAATCGGTTTTATGCTATTTTACCTGAAATCCAGTAATTGTAAAAATAAAAAAAAAGCCGTGAAATATGCAGGAATAGTTTTAATGAGTTTCAAAAAATTATTCAATTAAAAAACTAAATATTCTTTCGATTTATAGTCCAAAGCTCTGGGTTAAACTGTACAATAAAATGTTAAATTCACCCCCCTGGGTAACCAATGCTAGGAAGCATATTCCTCAGATTGACCGTTCATTTTCTACCAATTGTTGGACGATTGTTTTTTTACCTGTATAGAAGTACAGGGTAAGGAGTATGACTGTGCTCCTGTCTCGTCATGGATTCAAGTTTATCCACCTGGTTCTGGAGCCAGGTCTCTAGCTCCGGCCAGGGATTCTCCAGACGGAGATCAGGAGTCCGACTATCAGGATGAGTCTCAACGATAAAATGTTCCCGGACCTAACCGGATATAAAATCATTAGATCCGGCGGTAATTTTCTTATTTTATTTGAGAAAATCCATCTGCAGTGTTTTCAAATATTTAGCGCATCTTACTGATGGAATTTGAAGTAAATCTCAAGTTTAGAGTGGCCCAGTTTATCTTTTGAAACTTTATCTGTGCAACAATGAGAAAGATATTATCTTCTTTTAACACTTTCCTCCCTAAGTAACTAATTTGTAAATAATCAATTAAAAAGAGAAAAGAGGCATAAATACAGTACCGCACTGTAACAGTAAAGCATGAAACCAGGCTTAAAAGGTTCCGGTGTGAATCAAACATATCACTGTATAAATGGAGGGACACTTGAAATTCCGTCTAGAATCCCTTTAAGATAATCTGTGAACCTTTAATGATAATAACAATATCTTTTTGTCACCGGTCATAATTTATAAAAATTTTCCATAAATTTATAGCCACTTTTTAAAACTAATGAAAAATCCGTTTTTTTAATTAATAGCGACCTGTAATCTCATGTATCCTAGGAACCCGGCTGTTTTAACTGTAACAAGAGGAATGTTCTCCGTCCAGAGAATTTTTGCTAGATTTAGCAAACTTCTCTCCGGTAGTCCACAGCACACAACCAGGGAGAAGGAGGAGAAGAAATCACGTTTCATCTCAAGAACCTGAATTATATTAAAAAATATAACATAAAGTTAACATTATAAAACAGAGTATGAAAAAAGTCCCCGGATTTTGATTGACTGTTCGGTTTGGCAAACGACACTAAAATTGGTTGAATTTTAGACACTTTCCCGAATATCTAATCAAGTTTAATTTAATCTGCAGATTAACAAAAAGATGAGATCAAGCATTGATCTCGATATCCACAATACAAGACGAACTGTTATTATTATTATTATTATTTAACCAAACACTTAAAAAATAATTTTCATCTAATTGTGAAAAATCTAAAGATGACGTTGAGGTATAAATAATTTAACTTTTCTGGGTAAAATGTATATCACCCCTTATTCTTCGATACTAATTCCCCCAGACAGGGGAAGGGGCAACATATACAACTACTTAATTTAAAAAAATGGTTGCAGAGATCGAACCTGTTCTACAGACTGCTGTACACAATCCCCCCGGACCTCGTGGTTTAGTTCAAGAAGAAGACGCATAGCAACCTCACCTCGACTCTGCCCTATACACTCTACAACACAACATACAGTCAGATGAATTTTCAAATAAAAGGAATTTTTAGGAAAAATTACATCATTCTTTTTAATAAAAGATCTGCCTTCCCCTCCCCCTCTACGAAGTATACTGGATCTGGTTAATTGTGAAAAATGAATACCCACTAACTGTGCATAACCTTCATATCACATATATCTCTCATATCTAGGGGGGAGGGTAAAAAGTATCAAAAAGAAAAATAAGCCTTTTGATGTCCAATTTTTCATTTTTCTCCACCTGAAATGCTTTCAATTTAAGGGGAAAATTACATAAAGCCAATAATCAGAAAAAATATATGTTCAATATTTAATACCCGCATACAATCCCCCCCTCTCCTAGTTACAACCACTTTTAAAATCTTTCATTCTTGTATCACCTGGATCCAGAAAAAAATTGTTTCCTGCATCTTCAGCTGTCAACTAGTCAATGTACAAACATCAAGAAAAGAAATGTTTACCCATGTCTAAAGTTAAACAATTTGATAATGACTGGAAAGGTTTTATCATTATACCGATTTTATGTTTCTTCCCAATCTTAAAACTGTCTGTCAACAATGCTAACGTAGCAGTTTGTGAAGTCAGGGGAAATCCCCCCTCTGGAAAACAATTAGGGGATAAACATAAGACAAAGGCGCTCCCCTCAAACCATACAGTTGGAGAAATCAATGTTAAAATAACGATAATGCAAATATTTTTTATTTTCATTAGTAGTGCAAATTCGAACCCGATTGGTTCAGCCTTTTTGAAGTTTAAAATATAAAACCAAACGAGCAAAATCACGTACAAGGTAATTAAAAATAAGTGTGCGTGTGCGTGCGTGTTATGCACAATTATAATTTGATTCTGGTTTAGAGTTAAATAAACATGAACTAGTTTTATTTACTTATTCTAATATTAAATCTTGATGTTGTGTTTGTGTGTTTGCCTTGTGTTGGTCAAGTATAGTAAAGGATCCAACTCCAGGTAGAACTAGAGACTTCAATATCTCAGTTCCAATTGCACTCGCGTTTATCATGCAAATACTCGCGTACTCAAGCGCGTTCTGAAAAAATTCAAATTTTATGTTTTCATTTCTAAAACTTGGTGAACATCTATTTCAAGTAAAATGTCCGTAAAATAATTAAAACTCGCCAGGAATGAGGAAATAGATGTATACGCTAAGTAGCTAATTATATTCTCATCTAGTTTAAAAAATGAATTTATTAAAAAATAAAAAAATTAAACGTTGAACTGTGCATGTGATGAGGGAAGAATGAAAAGAAGAAAAGTTAATTGGGATTCTTCAAGTTTTTTTGTTCAAACTGATATTTAAAAACTATGCTGTATCAAGCATACAGGTATGGGCACTGGGCAGTTATGTTGATTTCCCCCAACTCCAACGTACCCTTTGAGGGAGGGATAATTATTTAGAAAGCTTTTTCTAAATATTTAACACATTTTTGGTGCTTTAGCGAAAAAAAATGCTCCAGACATTAAAAATATGTTTTATAAAGAAATGTTGGGTTTAAACAATGTTTAGATCAATTTACTTGAGTGGGGGGAACAAAGACGATGTTAAATTAATGCTACTTGCTTTGAATTTTTTACATTTTGATGTGGATCTTCATTTTCAAGCAGTCCTTTTAAAATCCAGCTCATTTTAAATTTCTTATACTGAAAAAAAAATGTCAAAAATGACTTTGCTTTATAGCAATATTATTTGCTGAACCTTAATTTGCCATAAAAAACAGGTGGATCCACATTTGAACTACTGCCGTTTGAACTATTGATCGTTTGAACTAATGTTCATTCTAACTGCTGATAATGACGTCATTTCCTGTAGTTCAAACAACACATTATTTACTCATTTAAAATTTTTTATATTTCATGAAAATATATATGTAGGTCAAACAATCATCACAAAATAGTTTAAATGATCAAAAAATATTTCACCATGGACATGAAAATAATTCCAATGACCAAAAAATAATTTCAAAATTCAAAATAATTTACCCAAGTAGACAAGATAAAAAGATTTAATCACTGATTTAGGGAGAATAAAAGATTTGTTAGGAAATAAAAAAATCATAATTTTATAGTATAAAAACTAAAAATAATTTCCAGTTTTTCGTATTTCGCCCCAATCTTCTAAAATTACCCCCCCCCCCCGAAGGGAAATTCTTTAAATGATCAGGAGCCTAAGCACTGTTGAAAACTGTACTGCACTATTTTCTCTAGTGTTCTGCAGTACCTGTCCATGATCCCCCCAGAGCCTAAGCTGGCGGTCATATCGCCGGGATTTCTCGGATTGAAGTGGGGAGTGAGGAATCCCGGGGGACGGTGTGGAGGTCATGTTTTCAAATCTCTGAAATTTGTAAGTTTAAATGCTTTCATCAAATTACAGGATGAAATATTATTGTAAGATTTATTTTAATTTTGAATAACTGACAAATATCACATTAAGTGCAAATAGATGTGCAAAATTTAATTATAAATTTTATAATAATTAAGAATTGTTTTATTGTGAGATTAAGTGCATGTATTACAATATGAGAATATATTAATCAATCAATATATAAATCAGTATTTAGTAAATGACATAATTAAGCAATATGTGTTTAATTAATATTGAAAAAACAAATCGAGAAACAGAGTTATCAGAAAGTACGACCCCCTCCCCTTAAAATAAAAGAAATCCCCCTCCATTCTTGGTTATCTATTGCATTAAAATGAATTCAAAACAACCTAAAATCCGCGAATGTTTTACAAGTGAAATCTTTCAAACCCCGACATATTCTGGCTTCTATGCTCTGGTAGTTACTGGTTAGCTGCCTAGCTATCCTGCGTATTTTGAATAACTATCAGAAGATAGTCTCTATCAGGTGCAACCATAATCTCATGTTTCTAAAATAAAAAAGTTAAAAATACAAATTGAAAACACACTAAGCGTTAATTAATTTACAACAAATATAACAATTAAAATTAACCATTCGTTAATGTTCATTGTTCATTTTAAGTCATAAAAAATGGTAATATCAAAAAAACTTTAAGTAATATCAAAAAAACTTTAAAGGAGGATCGAAGGATCTAAAATTTAATTGATGAATCGATCAATCCATTTTGATCAGAAACTAAATGAACGCATCAAAAAACACACTTAAAATTAAACAATCGATCAATTTTTCGTACAAATAACCAATTATTCGACAAAAAATTTTGTACGACAATCAATCAATCATTTCTTTTAATCAGTTTATTTCACTGCTCACCTTGGTTCTAATCCTGAGAAAAGTGAGATCATTGCTGGGATCCAACTCCTTGAACATTGTCTTTGCCTGCAGTTAAACGATATATTAGAATGTATGATTATATATGGAATAAGGATTAACTTTGTTTTCTTTCAGTGACAAGATTGGTAAAAATGAGAGAATATAAAATGTTGCCAACACAGTAATTATAAACACAGCTCGTGTATTGTTATTCGGGGGGGGNCTGGACTGTACCGTACTAAACTATTACCTTCATGTACCTGATCCACTAGATTGTTGAGTGGACCACTGTACTGGACTGTACCGTACTAAACTATTACCTTCATGTACCTGATCCACTAGATTGTTGAGTGGATCACTGTACTGTACTGTACCGTACTAAACTTTTTCCTTCATGTACCTGATCCACTAGATTGTTGAGTAGACCACTCTACAGTACTAAATTGTACTGTACTGTACCTAAATGTATTGTTCTATTCTGACCTGTACACTTCATAAGTTCATGTACCTGATCCACTTGATTGTTAAGTAGACCACTGTACTGTACTGTACTTGATTAAATTGTACCCCTTATGTAACTGAACTACTAGATTATTGAGTATACCGCTGTATTGTACTAAACTGTACTGTACTGTGTGTACTAAACTGTACCCTTTATGTACTTGATCCACTAGATTGTTGAGAAATGAGAAGATCGCTGTACTGTACTTTACTGTACTTGGAATGTACTGTACTGCACAGCACTGCACTAAACTGTTATCTTCATGTACCTGATCCACAAGATTGTTGAGTAGACCACTGTACTGTACTGTTGTAGGGTTGTCCAGGGTAGATTTGATAGGAACTCCCTCATTGTTTACAACAATTGTACCAATCACACCCTTTAAACATTAATATATTAATATAATATAATTATTAAAATTAAGTCATCTTGTACTGCATGTATGTGTTTCATTAAAAAAAACCTAGACTCATTTTATTATTATAAGGAGTAATTTCCTAGAGAACGATTTTTGGCCCCCCCCCCCTATCAATTTTGTACATGGATCTAAAATGTACGACATGTGGCTGCAGTGCTCGGCCCTGAAAGTGTCTTAACTTAACCTAACCCGTGGCTGCAGCGCTCGACCTCCTAGCCTATCCTAGCCGCAGCGCTCGGCCCAGAAAGTATCTAAACCTAACCTAACCCTGGATGAGGTTAGATGAAAATAAATCCATTCCGCTCCATCACTTTCACTCAGAAAATGGTATATTTTAGCTTCAAAGAAAGATGGAAGAAGATGGGGTGTCCCAAGACACTTTTAGTAAAGAAATTGCCCAGATCCTACCTCCCATACAGCGCCCCTCTTGAGTATTTTCAGGAAATTTCAAAAGGAATTAATAGAACTATAATCCTCAATACAAATGTTGATTTATAAACTGATAAACTAACCTTGTGTCCGACAAGTCGCTTCAAAGTCTCCTCAACCTCTGATGCCATTTTCTCTCTGAAAAAATATATATATAGTAAAAAAATCCAGTTTGAGATCAATTTCATGAAGAATTCAGCATTTAATGGTTCATTTGTCATGTCTAATTCTCTTGGAAGGTTGAAGGACCCCCCTGCCTTTATTTACCATATAATTGTCAATTCTAACCATCATATCAAAAAAGAATTCACTGGCTCACATTTTTAGTTCTACCCTGTCAAAATTTGTTTAATCGAATTCTTCCGCTACCCTAAGTGTAGTGTACTGTGTACACCACCGCAAACAGTTTAGGCATCAAGCTCTAAATTCTTTATAAATTAATTTTGAAAACACATTTTAAATTCAATGAATTTACATATGACCGGATTTAAATTTAGGAAAATAGCAATTTTTTTACGGTTGTTGTTCTTTCCAAGTGCCTTAACTGTATAGTGTGCTATTGCCGCGAGTGTTTTTTAAACTCGGCATGTTCTAAGAAGACTGAATTCACTTTTTAACTGAAGTCTAGGATTAGGAAATTCAATAGTGTGAAATATATCGCTGACACCGGTTTATAAAATGTGCTTTTAAAATGTTTCTAAAAACGTCTAATATGTTTTCAAGGATTTGTGTCAGACATGTCTCCACACACACATCGCAGCTCAACAACGAGGTTTTGAACGTTTTTAAGGATTGTTCGACAGTGTTCGATTTAACGTTTGGTGACGGTGTTCAGTCGACACTGCTGCTAGAGAAAGGTCACCATGTATTCGGTCTCGACCAGGATGATACTGTTGTCGACAGGTATCATCAAAACTGCGATAAGAACTTTATCGGTCGAATTGGGAAATTCAGTGATCTACCGAGTATTGTTAAACAAAATGACGAACTTCAAAAATGGACAAAATCTTGCGACGGAATTCTCCTGGATCTAGGAATTTCTCAGGCCCAGTTGAATTCTTCTAGAGGGTTTAACATGGAATCTGATGAACCTCTGGATTTAAGAATGAACGGGTCGGGACCAACTGCGGCTGAAGTTATTGAATACTTAGATATGGAATCAATAATCAAGATATTCAAGGTGTACGGAGGTGTTACTTGTGCGAAGAATATCGTAACTGATGTTATAGAAAGACGATATATGAACAACCCCATCAAGACGTCCAGAGAGTTATCTAGTCTTGTGAATAGCTGTTTATCTGCCGTACCTCATTTTGAGACTGAGAACCAAAAAGAATTGATCAAACAAAATACAATGAAGGTGTTTCTTGCACTCCGTCTGTTTGTCAATAATGAACTTAACGAATTGAATTTTGTAATTAAACTTGCTAGAACAATTCTAGGCCCAGGTTCCAAACTAGCAGTAGTTCTTCGAAGTGAGAAGGAAGAAGCAAAGTTCAGAAATTTAATTTTCTCCGAAGCCAACGATGCGACGGGATTAATGGATTGGAGATTGGACAATGTTCTTGAGGAGGAATCAGGAAAACTTCTCGCATTTTCTAAAATTTAAAACTAGATAAAATGTATGTAATAAATTAATTATCAAGTTATTGATTTATGATTTAAGTAATGTAGATTATCTAAGAACGTTTAGAGCGATGTCATTTCTTATTTATCGTTTTAGATAAAATGGGAAAGAAGGATAAAGAGAAGAAGAAGAAGGGGTTAGGAGCAGAGAAAACTGCGGAAAAGACAGAAAAGAAATTAAAACTAAAATCCAAAAAGGACTTGGCGGCCAAAGGTAAAAATGAATTTTAATTTTGAAGTTATCAGGCACAGACGGAATTACATTTTGTTATTATCTTGTATGTTTTTAATCGTTACTTTTTTCATAACGCGCTTGAGAAGAACATAAATGTTTTGAATTTCCAAGATGTACCCGGATAAATTTTCTTTTACATAAAATCAAACTAGAGGAGCTACTCTGTCACAAAGTTGTAGCAGTAATTTTTCATAAATTTGACCTTCCTCTGTATAGTTCACATGCAGTGATTACAAGGATTTAATGCAAGGAAAGTTAATTCAGAGGCGTACGCATCTTTTACTGCAGTGTACTGTCACCGGGCGGTAATGTAAACACAAGATGGATGTTGAAGCCTGACATGGAATCCATCTTTCACATAAATAATCAATGAAATATTCTGGTAATAGGAAATTATTTTGTGAATTATCAAAATTATCAAAATTTAATGCTTTTAACCTCCTCGGATACTAGACGAACACTGAGGCATCTATTCTTGTTTACAAATTCCGCCCAGAGAGAACTGGTTTCAATATGTACGCACAGGAAACGCAACTGCAATTAACTTTCCTTGCATTACATTCGTGATTACTGCACCCAGCACTCCCTTTCATATTTTGTTAACACTCCCTTTAAATATTGCCCAGGTGAATGGATGGCAATGTAAACTTGAATAAAATCAAGTTCAAATATTTCATAACTATTGAAATATAAATGTCGGTTTTATGCCACAAGAACTCTGTTATATAAACAACAGTTTAAAACGCTCATGGTACTGATGTGAGTAATTGTCAATGCAAAGGAAGCAAGTTAATGTATTTAATGAATTACAGGAGAGGATGATATAGAAAAGATAGTTAAACAAATAGAAGCAGAAGAGAAAAAAAGAAAAGAAGTAAAGGAGTTGACAGTTCAACCACCTTCTCACAGGTCAGACAGTACAAACTCTGTACACACAGATCAAACAGTACAAATTATATACAGAGCGTCCCATATCATATTAGATTATCTCCAAGACGTAACGCCCAATACGCGAAAAACCTGGTATTTTCTGCAAGAAAATTTTTTTAAATGATTCTTTCTTTTTAAATTTTCTGATTACTCCCTTAAATCTCAGTTTAGAGCTATAAACTATTTAATATGATGTTAGACATCTAGTGCACATCAAGTCCCAAACAGTTCTAATTCTCACGTTAAGTACACGGCCTAACTGTACTATTCAGTACACACCTAATTTTTTTAGGAGCAATTTCTCAATGACGGCACATCCGGATAATCCTGAAATAGTTTTCTTTGGCGGAGAATATTACAACGGAAGTAAAACTCAGATGTTCAGGGAAATCACCATCTAAATATATTCTTTGCTCGTCTGTCTGTTGGTTTGTTTGTGTTCAATAAATGTCAAAACGGCTGAACCGATCGGGCCCAAATTTTGTGTGGGACCTTACCTTACATTAGGGAAGGTTTATAGATGATCAAAATTCCAAAAATTAGCCGTCAACAAAATTCGAATTTCATTAAATTTAAAAATTTACGAATTTATTTTTTACAATCTGCGAACTTTTTTGTTTTTGTTTTATAGTGTTTACAATGTATTCAATGAGAAAATGTTCAATTGAAATAGAACTGAAATCCTAGTCTTCTAAATAACATAAAAGATTTATATTTAAATGCTTTCCTCTCAAACCGTTTTGTGGCATGACGGAAATGTCATTTGGACTCTTTAAACTGAGGAATAATAAAAAAAAAACAAAAAATGTTTCCCCTTTTTTTTCAAATGATAGCAAAAATTTAAAGATTTTTTCATAGAGAAATTAATTTAAAAGTGGCCATTGTAATATAAATTTTATTTTTACTCATTCTGTCAATGTACAAGATTAAAATAATGAGAAAAAAAACAGTTTTAAGATGATGATAATGTTGCCCCTAGTGATCTGTTGATTTATAACACAAAGAGGAGTTCTTGGACCCAGATACAATCCCCTGCCGGACCCCCTCCTAGAAGTGCACATCAGGTAGAAGGAATCATTCCGCGGTATATATTTTCATGAAAATTTCTCCCCCCCCTCCCAGGGGGAAACGTTTAGGCTGGGGGGGGGATGGCAATATCTGTTCATACGCTCCAGTCAAGTTTGTCATGAATTTTTAAAACCGCATTTGAATGTTATTTAAGAAATATATAAATATTTAGGCTTCTATTGTTCTTTTTAAAAGAGTCGGATAAATATATTTAGGCTGCTATTGTATCCCAAGGTGGTGGACAACTATATATATTTGGAGGAGAATACACAAGTCCTACAGAATCACAATTCTATCATCATAAGGAAACAAAATCTAATTGTTTTTTTTGTCAAATGTCTTCTTTTCCGAATTTTTCTCGCTGTCAACTTTTTTAAAAATATATGTCACTTACAAATGCAGTTTTAAATCCCGGTCCTTAATAATCATAAATAAATAATTTCTGTTTAAAATTAATTTTTGAGAAATATTTTTCTGTTGTATCAATAGAGTTTGTTGTTTTGCAGGATTTGTGGTGTTATCATTTTTCTTCTAAACGATGGGAGAAGGTGACTAAAAACAATAAAAAAGTGTTAGTTCTTAAAAAATGTAAAAATATCACATATTTATTCCAAAACTAATTTGCCAAAACTTCACATGAAGATTAAGTTTTGTTAAATACAAAGTTACCGGAAAGGATGAGATTTAAGTTACCAACAAAAAATCTTCGAAAATAACATCCTAGGGGTTGAATGTAGAGTTTCTAAGTTGCTGCAGTGGGACCCATAAATCTTTGGAATTTAGAAAGACGACTAGAAGACTCGAGTAATAATTTCAACAGTCGGATGAACAAGAAACATAGTAATTCTGCTTCAAACAAGTTGCCACATTTTACACAAACCACATCAAATATATAAAATTGATAACGTCGTCTTTCTATTCATTAGCCACAACATTTTCCCTTTCCTTGCCACATATTATTTTTTGTCTTCCGGTAGCCATGCCCTCAATGCCATGCTTTACACCATACAAAGAAAATTTTACATCATTTTACGCGCATTGTGGACACAAAGACAAATTAGATGAGAAAAATCACAATATTAACTTAAATTATCTGACTGTTACAGATCCCCCCCCCAAATCCATTTTGCAATTTTCTCGTTAAATTGTGCAAATTTTCGGTTAATGGGCACCCTTTGAAGGTTAAGAGTAAATTATGGTCCATCGTTTTTATTGTTCATAATATTTTCACAATTAAGCAATTTTAGAGGAAAGAATGAATTTGTTTTTTTGTTTTAGAAATCGTCATTATGTTAATTTAAAACTTAAATATAAAGTTCTTTATATACGTCTTTTGCATGACATCGCTAGATTTTTGAAAATCACAATTTCAATGTAATAAATTTATTAATAAAAAACGTAATAATTGCCAGAATACTCGTATGCTGTGGCATGGAAGACCGTACGGTTGTGGCTCATGTCTGCCGGAAGACAAAAAGCTAATATATGGCATGGAAGTGAAAATGTTGTGGCTTATGGCCGCCAGCCTTCCCCCGCTCGTCCTACTGTAGTCTACTTTTTTATATTTTTATTATTGTTATCAAATAAACATTCAAAGTACTATGATCTGAAACTATATATATTTATTATTTATATTGTGTAATGCATAGATTGAGGCTGCAGGTGGACCCTCTGGTCGGAGCGGACACAGGATGGTCGTCTTCAAACATTTCCTCGTCGTTTTTGGAGGATTTCATGATAATCTCAGGGAACCAACGATTGATTTTTAATTTTTTTATTTTTTAGTCTAATAAGTGTTCTGATTATGAGCGGTCGTTTTAAAATATAATTTTTAAGAAACTTGTGAATTTTCATTTCTTTTAAGCAATAGAGGATTAAACGATCTGAACATCATTTATGCAAAGGTGAACGTTAGAAGGTAGCAAAATCATGAGCAACTTGAAAATCTATTGACGCGCATTTTACAATCTGTTGTTCCAGGGATTCTAAATATTTTAACGACGTATATTCCTTCGACTTAAACAACAGAATTTGGAAGAAACTTGAAACCATCGGAGCCGGACCCACCCCAAGGTAAATACAGGGTGTCTCAAAAAAAACTGTGCAGTAAGGGTATTAGTAACTGAAGAAACAATTTTCGTTTAATTTTTACGATCAAGGTGTCATTCGAAAGCTCTATATTTCAGTTATATCATGATGTAAAAATTTTCTTTCTAGGCCTCATACTTTTTTTGTTACAACCAATTATTTGAGCATAAGTCGAAAATCGATTTCCCGGATTGTTCAATTTTTCGATTTTTCATGTCTCATTTTCATTCGTTCATAAAGTATAGAAAAATTTAAAGATCTTCGAATTTTTTTTTTAATCATAAGCTGTTAGTCTTAGGTTTCATTTTTCACTAAAATTTTGGATCAGCGATTATTACTGCTAGAGCAATCTAAAAATAAAAATATGCATTGAAAAAAAAACGAAAAGAGAGCTACGGGTACCTCCGTACGAACCTTGCCCAGACCACAAAAATAATTTTTTTTAAATTTTTCTTTTTGAAATCAGTTGGTACAATCCACAGCTCGCTATTTCAATCAAATTTTTTTTTAAACCACCAGGGCACAAAAATAAAACATTTTTTCTGAATCTGAAATTACAAAAAAAAACTTTAAAAAAGTCATCACTTTAATTAATAATATTTTTACTTTAGAAATGATGTTCACGCTTTCATTTATTAGTCCATTTATATGATAGGTTCAAGGTATTAGGTAGTTAAATAGGCCAAAAATGTTGGTAAGTTTTTTCAGGGGCCTACTAAGGGACTGTTCACGCAAAAAAAGAACACATTCTCAAATGTAAACTTACGTCTTAGAGAGCACAAGCCGTCCAAGGTATCGTTTTATAGGTAAAAGCATATGCATGATTCAACAATGATATTGGTTTTTGAAAAAATTTACCATCGAGGTCATTATCCGCAAATTTGATTTCTAAGGGGTCATTTTAGGAGGTCAAATTATATTAATAGCACACAAATATCGTCATGGGTGTCTAAACAGGGGGTAAACGCCCATGATAAATCCATTTTCAATCTTTTTTTTCGAAAATTTGACTCCCGAGGTCACAACTGCCCATTTTGACCTCCAAGTGGTCATTTTGGAGGCCATATTATATCAATAGAGTACTCATACCGTTATGGGTACCGAAATAGGGGCAAATCCACATGGTGAATCCATTCTTACTATTCTTATGTCATTAACATTTCCGTCGACGGCACTTTTGACCTTTTTGACCTCCAAGTGGTCATTTTGGAGGTCATATTATGTCAATGGAGCACTCATACCGTAGTGGCGAATCGTTTCTTACAATTTTTTGTGTATGCATGCTAAAGAAAAATCCGCCGAATTTAGAGTAAAAATTTCCCAATTTATTTTGATTAATCTGAAATGGTGCCCCGACCACAGTTTTCTCCAAGTGAGAGATCGTTTATCTATAAACTTTACACCGTACATTCAACTGGGAGAAGGAATACTAGATTTCTTAATATTCGAAGAGATTTTACGGTCAAATTCCCTCAATCCACAGTTCCATCTAAGCAAGCTGTCCGAGACATTGTCAAAAAGTTTGATACCACATCTACTATTCTCAATCTAAACTCTAAGAAAAGCCCAGGGAATACCTATAGTGGGCGACCAAAATTGGGAATTTTTTACTCTAAATTCGGCGGATTTTCTTTAGCATGCATAGACAAAAAATAGTAAGAAACGATTCGCCATTACGGTATGAGTGCTCCATTGACATAATAAGACCTCCAAAATGACCACATGGAGGTCAAAAAGGTCAAAAGTGCCGTCGACGGAAATGTTAATGACATAAGAATAGTAAGAATGGATTCACCATGTGGATTTGCCCCTATTTCGATACCCATGACGGTATGAGTGCTCTATTGATATAATATGGCCTCCAAAATGAAATGAAAGCGTGAACATCATTTCTAAAGTAAAAATATTATTAATTAAAGTGATGACTTTTTAAAAGTTTTTTTTTGTAATTTCAGATCAGAAAAAATGTTTTATTTTTGTACCCTGGTGGGTTAGATAAAAAAATTGATTAAAATAGCGAGCTGTGGATTGTACCAACTGATTTCAAAAAGAAAATTTAAAAAAATTATTTTGTGGTCTGGGCAAGGTTCGTACGGAGGTACCCGTAGCTCTCTTTTCGTTTTTTTTTCAATGCATATTTTTATTTAGATTGTTCTAGCTTCAAAAGTAATAATCGCTGATCCAAAATTTTAGTGAAAAATGAAACCTAAGACTAACAGCTTATGATTTAAAAAAAAAATTCGAACATCTTTAAATTTTTCCATACTTTATGAACGAATGAAAATGAGACGTGAAAAATCGAAAAATTGAAAAATCCGGGAAATCGATTTTCGACTTACGCTCAAATAATTGATTGTAAAAAAAAAAGGATGAGGCCTAGAAAGAAAAATTTCATATTATAAAATTACTGAAATATAGAGCTTTCGAATGACACCTTGATCGTAAAAATTGAACAAAAATTGTTTCCTCAGTTACTAATACCCCTACTGCACAGTTTTTTTTGAGACACCCTGTATAATCTAGAAACCAGCATCATTTTCTTATTTGGCAGATGATGGAGGGGGGCTGACTACAAATTTTTCTGTGCGTATGAATATGATTTGAGGTCATTTCATGTTAAATAACTTTCAGAATTACTAGTTTTTTTTTTTGGGGGGGGGGGGTTCAAGCATTGAAGAATACCTGTAATCAAGTCATAAATTGTATTTTTTTCAGAATATTTTGAATATAGTGGGATGGGAAGGCGCAACACCGATTTTAATTTATTTCTTTATTTTAGGTCCGCTTGTCAGATGTTCTTAACCCTCGATGGAAGGAAATTGATTAATCCAAACATAATTTCACGGTTTGACAAAATTCTCAATTTGTCCTGAGGAATTTGCGTATATGGCGGATTCAGTGAATTCAGCAAGCAGAAACTAAAGAATGAAATGTAGGCCGGAGGGGGGAAGAAGGATATGTAGGCCGGAGGGGGAGGGAATGACCCACACAGACATGTTCCTTCTGAGTGTAGACAAACATGATGAAACCTTCAGGTTAGTTTTTATTTCTTTATTTGTGTGAACTACCTTGGGAATGGTAATCCAGCTTTTCCAGGAGTTTTCTCTATTGAAATCAACCTACTCAACTTAGAATTTTTAAACACTTCCATGGTTATCCAGATTTCCGTAATCAAGATTTAAGGCAAATTGATCAAGGGTTCATGAGTTATGATCGGACATACAAACAACAAACAGAGATTACTACTTTATATGAACTTTAAGGAGTGTTCTCTATACTTTTTTGCATTCTCATCCGTGCGTCTTCCACTAAAGAACACATTATATCAAGGAAAATGGCTAATGGAAAATGTGTGTGGGGGACACGGAGTGAATCAAGTGGTGTAAACTTCAAACTTAAGATTGATTTGTACAGCTCCATATCAACATTTTTTCTTATTTGTTTGCTGAGATTTTATTCATCTGCTGATATTACTTTATGTTAGATACACTCCTGATCCCCCCTTTTTTTTTAACCCTAATCTCACCTTTTATATTACTTATCAGTAAATGGAGATGGCAAGTTGTTAAACAAGTTGGAAATCGTCCTAGCATGAGAACAGGACTAGCTTCAGCCTTAGCTAAAGACAGGTAATACAGCCTTACAGGGTCTTTCAGATAGGTTGAAAATAAAATAGCTTGTACAGGCTGACGTGGTAAGGATGATAATAAGGGTGTAATCGTTCTCGACATTTTAAAATCAGCTTACCAACCACCAGTATTAGTAAACACATTGAATATACCCAACATACTAAATATTAACCTCCTAAGTTGAAAAACTTCGTAGATAGGCCAAAAATTGAAAATTAAGTTATAGAATAAACAACTGCTTTTTCATTTTAAAAAAAGTTTTTGGATGTTTTTTTTCTGCCTGAAGTATTTTATGTTGACTGTACAGTGTACAGTACTATTAATCAGACGACTTTACAAATATAATTGATGAAACGACAATCACTAAATAGTTCTAGTCCTGCCATTTCCAAAGTGTGGTCTTCCTTTTATAAGCATTTAAAATTGTCAGATATACATATAAATGTAAAATCGCCTTATAAACTGTCAATTTATTTCGACTGTATGTGTTGCCAGGGTGTTCATGTTTGGCGGGGTCCAGGACAAGGAGGACGAAAGCGAGGACGAGGAAAGTGATGAAGAGGACAGTGGGAACTTCTTTAATGAGCTGTACACTGTTCAAGTCGAGGGGGAGAGGGCAACCTGGCATCTTGTAACATTAACAGGTAAGTTACTCCCCCTCCCCTTCACATTTTTTTATTCGCCTGATTGGGAAATATATGAATTTTAATATTAATTTTATTCTGTTCTTGTTGTTCTTGTGATGCTAAATAGTATGTTGGTTATAGTTTTTAATATCGACATTCACTCTCAATATGGGCAGGTATCCTTAAACCCCAGTCTTTCAATTTGTGCCCATTTCTAACACTCAAGTGTTTAAAATGGGCCAAGTTTTAGTTTTGGAACGTCCCCTGAAGTATATATTTAAATGTATTTTCAATTGTTAAGTATTATAAACGGTGAAAAACGGTTATTTTTAAGGTTTATTTTAACATTTTTTTTCTAGAGCATTTGGGGGGGAGGGCAATTCTTAAAATATAGACCCCTGTTTTTTATTGAGGGAGAGATGCAGAGATTGTTCTTAGATTTGAAGGGTAGGTAGCAGCTTTTGAGAACAGCTAACAAAATAGATACATTTTGATTTATTTATTTTAAACTATTTGGAGAGTAATAGGGTGATGATTAATAATCGTATTTTAGGAAAGAAGGAACCTACTGAGAAGAAGAGTAGAAGGAAGGATAAGGAAGGTGTGGGAGAAGAAGAGGAGGTGGAGAAAATGGAATCTATGGTGCTCGACGGCGAAGAGGAGGAAAACAAGCAAGGTTAGATACCAAATAGATCTTAATATTAAATAATTGCTTAATTGTATTTCTTCATTTTTACCGCCATTGTCTTAAGTGATACATCATGATTTCTTCCAATGGGTAATTGTAAGAAAAGAGTGCATGGGATACATTTCATTTTGATGTGAATCCAGATATTAATCCGTATCCGGATCCAGGCTATGAACATCTCTTTAAACTATATCGAATATTTTAACAATTACAGATTATATAAAATTTTATCTCTTTTTTCGCCGTTATGCTGAAACTTGATGTATGATTCGGAGATTTAGAAGTTTTTAACATTCTCAATCTCCAGCGATCAGTGACAATTTGGCTATTATACGCTCTCAAAGAATTGTACCTATCTTGGTTATGTTAACTTCATTAAAATGTTCAGTTTGATTTAGTATAAAATAAACCATGCCTGAAATAAACAAAAAAGAAACAATTTACTGAAGTGAAATCAGGAAAATACTTATTTTAGGGCCTACAACTCTTACTGTAGAATCAGGAGCCTTTACTATTTCGAGTACTATCGGCACGGTAGGTTATCCTAATAATAAAATCTGTAAATTATTAGAAAATTATGTAAGAATATCTATTTATGTCATTGTAATGGGTATTATTAAGTACGGTGTGAAATACTTTTATTTTGATCTTAAACAAACTAGAAAAAATAAAAATCACAGCAAAACCTTTTTCGCACGCATGATACCCATTTCAATAACATATATAGTTTTATTTATTTGTACTCAAATTATTTAAAGCAGGTCGATAAAGATACTTAATCACCCTGTTGTAGGGTGATAAAGTAACTTTATCACCCTAAAATGAGACAAATTAGGTATGAAATTTGAAATTTTAATAGCAGGGTGAAAAAGTTACTTTTTCTCGCTGGTTTAGGGCGATAAAGCCACTTAATCACCCTACAACGGAAATAAAAGGTTTGATAAATTCCATCAAAATTGAATAAAAGAGTTCTTAAGATCAGTCATGCCATTTTTCAAAAGCTAATTTTTAAATCCTGGATCTATAAATCTATAAAATATCTTTATTTGTGTACATTTAACATAAAGATTTAATGTCCATGGTGTTTCTGAAAAAAAAACGTCGTTTTATTGTACTTAGAAGTATTAGTAGTACATACAAGGTCCGTAAATGGAACGAAAAAGCTTAAAAGCTATCTATTAAAATTCTAGAGAAAAGGAAGCGAGAACATCGATATAAATTATGCCTACTTTGAAGGTGTAAATAGTATTTTAGAGCAAAATGTTTCATCAACATTCGTTCATGGGATTGGTATCTTCTAGAAGTATATTCAGTAAAATAAAACGACATTTATTACGCGGAAAAAGCTTAAGCACACTTTTTTCAGAGACCCTCTGTACACTGTTTTATTTAATTGTAGGGTTGGAATAAACCCGGTTTTTCAAAAAAATTTACCTCAGTGGGTTTTATTGTTTTTTTTGGGGGCTTATTTGGGTTTTTCAATTTCAATGTAAATAAAACCTACTAAAATTCATAATAATGAGACTTGGTCTAATTGGATTTGTCTGGTCTAATACCAAAAACCGTCTTGAAGTGCAGAGTGACAAGGTTGTAAGATCATTGGTTTAAGTCTTCGGAAATGAATAAATGTGTCAGTTTTAGTGCTGTAAACTCCTAAAAATCAATACAGCTGATAGTAGACATTATTTCTGGAAGATTTTATTTTTGTAAGATTGAAGAAAGGGCAATAATTAGAAGATTTTAAAAAAAAACAATAAAACCCAAATAAGCCCACTTACAGATGGGATTTTTAAAGTGTTTTTTTTTGGTGGATTTTTTAAGCCAGGGATTTTTTATGCCAACCCTGATTTTATAGATGGAGACTGGAGAGAAGAGTAAGGAAGGGGTTCCCGTCAATAAAGATGTATTTACCCCTAGTCCTCGTTTCAGTTCAGGTTAGTCTGAAGCGTATTCTAGGTCTGGTATATAAGTCTGGTATTACAAGGTCTTGTATATAAGTCTGGTATTACAGGTCTGGTATAATAGGTCTGGTATATAAGTTTGGTATTCTAGGTCTGGTATATAAATCTTGTATTCTAGGTCTGGTAAATAAGTCTGGTATTCTAGGTCTGGTGTATAAGTCTGGTATTATAGGTCTGGTTTATAAGTCTGGTATTCTAGCTCTGGTATATAAGTCTGGTATTCTATGTCTGGTATATAAGTCCGGTATTTTAGGTCTGGTATATAAGTCTGGTATTCTAGGTCTGGTATATAAGTCTGGTATTATAGGTCTGGTATATAAGTCTGATATTCTAGGTCTGATATAAAAGTTTGGTATTCTAGGTCTGGTATGTAAGTCTGGTATTCTAGGTCTGGTATATAAGTCTGGTATATATGTCTGGTATTCTATGTCTGGTATATAAGTCAGGTATTCTAGGTCTGGTATATAAGTCTGGTATTATAGGTCTGGTTTTTAAGTCTGGTATTATAGGTCTGGTTTATAAGTCTGGTATTCTAGGTCTGGTATATAAGTCTGGTATTCTAGGTCTGGTATATAAGTCTGGTATATATGTCTGGTATTCTATGTCTGGTATATAAGTCAGGTATTCTAGGTCTGGTATATAAGTCTGGTATTCTAGGTCTGGTATATAAGTCTGGTATCCTCTACCTGTTTGGCGGTATCTGGGAAGATGGAGAGAAGGATCTAACGCTAAAGGTAAAATTATGTCTCAGAGAAATAAAAAAAAAAAATTTAAAATAAAAAAAATTATTTGATCATATTTCATGAGGAGGAAGGGGGAGGGGGGGGATATCAACCGTGAGGATCTGAAGCATTATATCGTACCAAAAATTTATTGACGCCTGCCTACAGGAATAAATAAAAAAATGAATGAAAGTCGTCTTTCTTCAATTTTTAAATTTTAAATGTAGCTGACATTTTTGTTTGTTGTTGTTGTTATGGACGATATATCTATATTATAACAGTTAATAATTTTATAAACCTCCGCGACATTTTTATGTTAAGACGACTTTTATTCAACACTATACTGGTTAAGACTGTATATTTTAAGGATTTCTACAGTTTGGATTCTGTAAAGTTAGATACATGGAACACAATCATAGAAAGCGATATACAGGTAGAGTTTGGTCTATTAGTCCTCGGGTATTGTTATTTTTAAATTTTTTTTTATAAAACTTCAAAGATTTCATAACTATACTATTGCATCTTTTTTGCATGAATTTATCGTTTTTTCGTTTCTGGATAGTTTTTGAATATTTTTTGGATAGTTTTTGTGTCGTTTTTGGATAGTTTTTGGGTCGTTTTTGAATAGTTTTTGTGTCGTTTTTGGATAGTTTTTGTGTCGTTTTGGGATAGTTTTTTGATAGATTTAAATATTTTTTGGATAGTTTTTGGGTCGTTTTTGGATAGTTTTTGGGTCGTTATGGGATAGTTTTTGTATAGTTTTCGGAAAGTTTTTGGTCGTTTTTTGTTGTCAAAAACTAAAATTTACAATAAACATTTTGAATAACATTTGCTTTTCTTACACTAAAATAACAAAAATAATAATAATAATAATGAAAGAAAATATAAACAAAAATGATCAAAAAACAAACAACATCCCATTACTAGTCTTTGGCCCAGGGAATAGTTGGGTTTAATTTTATACTTATCCAAAATAATCTTTTTTATCTTCTCTTGAAAGCTTTTAATTTTCTGAATTCAGCAACATAAACCTCAATAATAATTTGCATTAAATCCACAGAAATATATCAAACCGGTTTAATATTATATTTGCTGGATTTTAATGGTTGGAATTGTCGGATTTTGAGATTTGTTTGATTAGAATAAAGCCCAAAATTGTGTCTTACCCGCTAACCAACCAAGGTCGAGTTTTTTTTCGCCGGCCTAACTCCTTTGTTCCAGTCTACTGTCTAAAAGCTGGCAGCTGCCGATCATGTGACACAAGTGGGCGTCAAATGATTCTTAAGTCGGGTCATAAAACTTTAAACTCGGGTTAAAGGCACGGGCCGAAATTTTTAAATCGCGGGCTCTGGTCTATTCATTTTTGAGAAGGGACGGGAGGGAAAATTTTATCCAAGATAGTTGTGCCCTCTTGGTGGTCAAAATAACTCTATTTGTTTAGTCTATGGAATGGTTTGGATCTGATTCTAAGGATGATGAAGATGATGACGAGGATGAGGATGGGATGGACACGGATTAATTTTTTACAAAATTGCATTTTTTATAAATTCATACAGAAAATGTTGTTCTGGTTTTTTCTGTTCTGTTAATGAATGTGTGTACTATGTACCTCATGTTTGTAAACACTTGCCTGAAAGGAGGGACTACTATATAGTACTAGTATTAGAATCCAGAATTATTGTTCAAATATTTAGTCTGTAAAGTGGGAAATTAGTTGTAGCTACTCTATAGGTAATGACTTAATCAACACTTCACGAAGATTTTAATTAAAAATTTAATCAGAAAAACGCTTTTATAACTAGCAGTTCAAACAAAGAGTCATTTTTATTAAAACTCACTTCAAATTTCTATATAAAACTGAAATCTATACGTTGCAGAATTTTTTCACACGTGTTGTTCAACTTTTTATACGTGGATAGTGCATGTTGTTTAAAGTATCTTCAGAATATAATCACGTTTAAACTTCATTTAAAAAGTTAAGTTAATGACCCTTTCTGATTTATTGCATTGTTAAATATCCAAGCAGAAACGCGTTAATGCCACAGGATTTTTTGACCCATGGTCTTTTTGGCAGACAACGTTTAACGTTCATTGATATTTTGAGATCTTTACAATGTTAACTGGCCAGTATACCTAGCAAGACTTTGAATAGTATTGTAGTCCAGTAATTATATTCCTACGTAATATTATTGATGAAAGGAATGATTTTTTTCATGAATTTGCACGAATTTAGTTCATCTGCATCCTTTCTTTCAATTTATATTGCCCTTAAATTGATCTTTAAAAAATGATACTGACACATCTGGAAATATGATTCAATATCAAAAGAAATTGTCATCTTTCTGGACAATGGCCGTACATCGTCATTTTTACGATGTACTGATAATTTCTTTTTTTATTGTTTCTAGATTTAATTATTTCTGTTGAATTATTTCTAGATATAATGTACAAAATAGTTGCTTTCTGTCGTTGGATTTATTACTTTAGAGAGGACTACTCTATTGATATTGAAGAAATCAGGTAGATGGGGTGGGATTGATATTGAAGAAATCAGGTAGATGGGGTAGGATTGATATTGAAGAAATCAGGTAGA